GATGTCACCTTGCGACGTTGATATCGAATCTACGTCGATAAGATGTGTTAACGAGATATTGCATTTTTGCAAGGTTGTTACATCACACAGATGTTGATGTCACACGATGGCTGGCTGGGTAGTAGTCTGCTTCCCATAACTGCTGCTTGCAATTCCAATCGTGGTATTGAAAGTGGTTTTAAGAGGACATACTCTGGCTTTCGAGGAAATCAAAACTACTTGTATTTCATCTTCAAAAATAATTCTCAAATATGCTGCGCAAGCAAACGCCTCTTCGCTGGCATCACAGAAAACATGTATCTCTAGAAATGAAGCATCCGGGAGTGACGGTGAATAACACCTTGGAATTTGTATCCCTGAGATATGTTTCAAGTCTTCTAGCCATAAGAGCCATATTTCAAAAACACTCCCAGGTATACAATCGTCCCAACTAATCCCAGTTCTACAAATCTGCTGGAGAATCATTCTACCTCGAACCACTAGATTAGTTAAAAAACCAAGTGGATCGAATACCGGCATAACAAGTCTGAGAACTTCTCTTTTTGTTGGTGTTTTTTGGCCCATCAGTATTTCATCAGAAAACTTATGAAATTTCAACTTGAAGGTGAAATTATCTGTGGTCACATTCCACCAAACACCCAGTACACGGTCAGTTAGAGATTTGTTGAAATTCCTCTCATCTGTCTTCAACTCGGCAAATCGATCCATAACAAACTTGGAGTAAGATGTCCAGCTGACTACTTCGAATCCTCCCTCTTGATGAAGTCGTCTGATTTCATCCACTATCTTAACCGCACCCTCCTCATTTATGCAAGAGTCCAAATAATCATCTACGTAGAAATTCTTCTACATCTTCAGTCAAATGGGGATAGTTTGTCGACTTTCTTGCGTTTAAATTTTTTACAAACTGTGCAGAACAGGGTGAACATGTAGCACCGAACGTCATCACTTCCATTTCTTTGTTCTTATCACCATTGCGCCATAAAATCCTCTGAGCACACCTGTCTTCTTTGATTATTTTCACCTGGTCAAACATTTCACGTATATCTCCACATATCGCCCATCTCAACTTAACCAACCTATCTATCAGACGCTTTCGGCTCGATAGTATCACCATGTTCAAGATTATCTCAGGTGTGATTGATTGTTGCGATCTTCTCAATATGATAAACTTCAATGTTCCATCATATTTCACTAGAAACACTGATCTTTTTACTATAAAAACTCATAGAACTAATTATGGGTTCTTCAGCCCATTATCACGTATTTTGCGTAATTTCAACATATTAAACATTGATCCATTTGTCCATTCCTTAACTGATTTTAAAAATAAAATTTGTATTGTTGATCCTGGCTCGATCCACAATTAATCTATACTTTAGTGTTAATTTCTAAAGGTTGGTTAATACAGGAATTTTGTTTTGTATCCTTCAAACCAAACCATATAGTTCAAATTTGAAATTTCAATCAATATCAATGCTATATTATTGTTCTTATGCCATCATGTCAATCTGTAATAATTAACTATTGTAATGGTGAATCCGTTTATTAAATAAATAAATAAATAAATAAATCTCCAACGGCGGAACATCAACAATACTCCAGGCAAGGATGTCAAAGAATCAGGACCTTGAAGTAAATTGTCATCAAGACTGATACCATGATTCTTGGCAGCAGCATCAAAAACAACTAGTTTTTTTTAAATACTTCTTATCCACATACTCTCGAATTTTCTTACATTATTTTTCATGGTAGTCTTTATCTTTGTCCATTTTTCTCTCGACACACAACAGTCTTTTTACAGCGGTGTTTCTACTTTCTGGAAGCAAAATATTATCGGATTTCTATAGTAATCCGGTCTCGTATCTGTTCTCTCCGGTGATTTATCAAGTCGTTTTCTCTAGCAATTCAATAGCCCTTTTTTCTTCACGGTTTATTCTTGTATTTGTCACGGCAACTCCGAAATTATCCGTTCTTATTCTCTAATGAGTTTCTCTATATCTTCTTCGTGACTGCAAATATGTAAAATAGTTGAATTATATCTATCTTCTTTCCTCGTTTTTCCATGTACAGTCCAACCAACTAGATATTTTGTTGCAATAGAACTATTTTCACTACCCTCATATACTTTCCTTGGCACTATTTGCATTGTCTTGGCCGATAAGTAAAGAAGGTCTTACATTTAGTAGATCCTTGATAGGCAAACCAAGGAGATGACTTTCTTCAAAATCTCCTAGCCTGTAAGTCTGTTGTGGCAAAGCTAAATTTTTAACAGTTCTGACATTTTCCATGCTGTACATTTTTGAGCCATTTTCTATTGCTGATATTTTGAAACTTATAAGCTGAGAATCATCATTGTGCTTTACAATCGCTGGCCCACTGCATACAAAAAGGTTCATTTCTCCCATGTATTCCAATTCTTTTAGCAATTTCAGCTTCCATATTAGTGATACTGTAGAGCTCTCATCGAACAATGCATACATTTCCAAAATTCCAGATGGTCCATAAAGACACTTCTGTAATTTGGCCATTTTTTCATAATCTGTGTACTTACAAACTTGGCTTCTTCGTCTATATTGTGAGATGAATAGTGGCCAAGATTCTGGTTTGCCATCAAATTCTTTCAATTCTTTCTCTAGCACTTTCTCTAGCACTTGCCTGTTCATCAATCCCTCCACTAATTCTGGATTTTGTGCATTTGTTACGGCGTTCTCTATTACTTGGCATAGTCTAGTCAATGAATTTTCACCTTCGATACCAATTTTATTGAGAACTGGTACATGCTGCTTTTTCATCCTGGCAGTTTTGAAATTTTTCTCTAATCCATTGATGTACACCTGATGAGTTATCTCAGCAATATGTTTTTCTTGTTTTCACGCTTACTTCTTCATCTTCTGATGTTTCTGCTAATTCTGCTTCAGCAATATCATTTTCTAGGTCTATGATTCTCATTTTTGCTTCTATTCCTTGTCTAAGAAGTTCTGCTTTCGCTTTCTCAGCTTCAAGAGTTAATTTCTTCCTTTCGATATCAGTTTTTGAAGATCATGAACTCCTTGTATACTTTGACCTGCTAAACTTGGTGCTTGCCTTTTCAGTATGGTGTGATTGACTTCTTCCAGCAGTTGATTTAGTGCATTCGTTGGTCACGTAGCCTTGAAGCAGTGTTAAATCTTCCAATGAATTTTTCTTTAACATTTTTGTTTTCTATTCTGACATGCTGTAAATCTATCTTCCACGTTCAGGTCAACGTTAGCTGAAGGACCATGTGATAAATTGGAACTATTTTGTTTAGTAAAATCAAATTATAGGTCAATGACAGCTACACTTTTTCAATGTCTCAATCCCGTCTTTATTTTTCTACTGAGTGATACTACAACCAATTTTAGGCAAATATTACGAAATAATTAAAACTGGACGAAAATTTAATTGTGAAAAATTAAAGTGTGAACATTATTTTCTTGATTTTTTTGTCAAGTATGTCCTATACCTTAATGTTGACTCATTCGATAAAACTGGACTGGAGCTAATTTAAGAACAAAGAAAATGTCTATTCACGTGAAAATCTCTTCAAACTGTAATTATCGACAGTATAATACATATATCCATTTCAGGTGATAGTTCTCATAAAGTCCTGTAACTATTGTACTTGATTAATCGGATGGTTCGGAAAGTATCAAAAACGATCACACTATTAATGCACCCTGCATCACTAGGGAAATTTATTTGTGAAAATATTTGAAAGGTCTGATGGATACCCATTACCCATACGCCCCTCGACCCTTTCTACCTGTACTCAAGTAGGCGGTGGCGGCCATATACCATTAATATTTCATTCATAATATTCTAAAATATGAATTTTCACCAATTCGAATCAAATTTGAATAAATGGAATGTGTCTAAACGATAAAAAGAACAGAAAACACATATCAATTATCAAGTCGAAAAAATACTCCGGTAAACTCAGTTTTATGCTGAAACATACGAATTCCATGAGCATGTATTCAACGACACACATTGAATGCTGTCTCTCGTACTCAGGCGGAAGGTTTTGCTGATCTGGCAAGGTTTTTCTACCAGAGTTTCGGTCTGACATTGACGGTTTCACTTTTTGTGGGTGTATTTGAAGATACTGAATCATATTCAGCCTGATGAATTTACCGTAAATAGAACAGTTTTGTAGGCCACTTCAAGATTAGGATATATCCTATAATAAAAATTACTACTACTATTACTTTAACCCCCTCTGCCAGTCACTTGGTCTGGCAATTTTTTGACATACTTAGTACATTATCAACTTCAATATTTCAAAGACCCAGACTGAAATCAACGGGCGCTGAAGTCACCTCTGGCGGACTTTATGATATGAGAATATCATATTCTCACATTGCAAGCAAAGAATCATCTATAACAGTACTAGCCTGATGTTCGATACCGTAACGAAAACGTAGCTGGCTCCTGGACCAGAACCTCAACTTTAGTTTTATTGATTTTTGGTTGACCTAGAAACATCTTCCTGTAGAACTTACAATGATGAGACTGCGTATCTAAGTATTCTATGTGTTTCTTTATTGAATGACCACCTGGCTGGTCTATCAACTCCTTAGATTTTATTATAGGGTAAATCGGAAAAGCGAGAATCCTGAAATTGGCCATTGAATACACCCTATACAAGGTATTGTGATCAAATTTTGTATATTGGTATTTTGTCTATGCCTGAATCGAATAGGCTCGTTACTGTTTCGAAAAAATTGACTAATAGTCCTTTTTGAAATGTTAACCCCTTAAATAAACAAAAGTGAGCCTTGACAATATGAATATTTCAGGTTCGTCGACATTTTCGTTGAGTACTATATTATTATGGAATTTTTGTATTTGAAATTCGGTCGACTGGTTCCAAATTAGGAGGGTGTTGCGGGTTGAAATCGCACACTTCCGTATGTTTCTTGGGAAAGACAATCAATCAATTCAACTATATTGTACTGAATTTTTTTTTCTCCTAGGTTTGTCCAAAATGTAAGACTGTCATAATGAAAACTGACAGATACTCGGAGTACATCAAGGAGAGCTTTGATGATATGACTAATGTCAAAATGAAATATTATGGGAGTCCAAGTGAAATTGCAAACACAAGAAATCGTTTGCTGTCCGATGTGAATAAATTATACAAAGAGTTATACTGTCGTACAAAGTTAGTATCGATATTGGAGCATGTAAATCATAAACCTCTTCCTCGTGTAGACCATTCAGGATTGGAGAGATTCATTGGTGATTTGATAAGAAGATTACAACTTGAGAGTCAACCAATATCTCATAGGAATGCTCCTAGATTCCAGAATGATTTCCGCCGTCAAGATATCAATAAAACCGATCTTCATGCGATTGATTCCAAAATAAAACTCATTAGCGTTGTAGCTGGGGTGATTAAAGAAAAAGATTTACCCACCACCACTTTTCCCATGAGCATAAATCAACTGAATTTCATATTGAAGATACTATCCAGAGATGAGAATTCGATAACCAAACAGGAAGTTAATGACATAACGTTGGAAATTGACAGATTTGTGAGAATCATGCAGTATGAGGACATTTTGTCAACAGGAAAATCGGAATATTCCCCTCACAAACTTGAAGATAATGAAATGGTAAGGCATGTGCCTATTTATCAATTTACTTTTCATAATTTGCAGTGTATATCAAACATTAGTATTTTAGTAACACCATTCTGTTGAAAATGCATTGAAAAGTAGAAAATAATATTTTCAGCTATCACGATTGAACGGATTTTTGCCTTATAATATATTTGTATTTAGTGATGATCAAATAATAGCCTAGCATTCATCTCTATATTATTCCTTTTTTAGGCTATGTCAATCAAGAAACTACTGGAAAAACCAGCAAGATATGATAAGGAGCAAGATGATGTCTTGAAATCTGAACTAGAAAAACTTAAGAAAGTCGTCGCTTCTGCCATTCAAATCACAGATGCAGAGAGAGTTATGATTGTCGGAGCCGTGGGACTGAGTAAAGGGCACTGGTACTGTATAGATTCTGATGATAATATTAATTATTATTATTTTGTTGTAAGAGTGGTGACATTTTTTCAGGTATTTTATCTTCGAGAAAATATTTTTTGCGTTTCTTATAATCACGTTAATGGTGTATTGAGAGCCCTTATAGATCAACTGAATAATAGGCCTGTCGGCGCCATAGATTTTATTGGACAGAATGTATCTGTTCTCTTTCTTTTTTCACTATGAGTAACAGTTTATGTGATGGTCGTGTTAGAAACCAACTATGTTTCGTCTAGAATAGAAAAGAACGCACTTATAGGAATATTAAGTTGGGCAGAACGGGGCCTGTGGGGGACGACAGAATAGAATGATCGGCCTCGGAATGCTTGTTCTTTTCTCAATTCAATTTTGAATTTGCTTCCTATCAATGTAGCTTGTACGCTGTACAATATCTATTTGGGGAAGTACAAATATTTCACGTTTGAAGCCACTCATGAAATTACAAAATAAAACTAAGTGCATCTTCAATTCACCTTTTTTTAGAATCAACTGTAAATCTATACAAACCTTGCTGAATCTAGTTTCATTATATAAACTCTAAATTTGTTGTTTTATTCATTTTGTCAGAAAGGAATTGAAAATATCAAATTTGAATTTTAATGAAGTTAATACGATTCACGCCCATGAAACAATGCAATTTAATTTATTGATAGCAAAAATAATTTTGGTAAACAATCAATATTCCATAATGAAATAATTTTATATAACTCCTTACATAATGAGTTTGAAAATATAGAAGAAGCAGAAAAATTTAAAATCAAATTAAAGAAATGCTGCTCAGTAAACTTGAATTCCATGTGTACTAATCATTCACAATTTGATTACTTGTAATGGATTATAATATTTTCATTTTATATTTTATTATAATTTTTTTTATGAATAACAGTAATTGTGCAATTATTTTTTCTATTTTTTATGTTATATGTATGTTTTGTTGTATATATCCCTATTATAAACAATAATGTTTCTTGGGGTAATAAAGACAATCAATCAATCAATCAATAATTGTTATTATCTTGTTTATGAATTGTCATGCGATTCAACTGGTCATTTAGATTTTCATTGATACAACTATTAAATCTGCTCACCGGTGGTGGTTTAATTACAATATAATTCAAATACGTCTCTTATCAATGAGAATCCGATATTTAGTATGATTTTTCTACGGCCATGCACAGGGTGAGTCATGACTAACCAGCCATAGCCCAATGGCGGATAGAGGGAGTCAAGGTGAGTTGATATATATATGTGAAAAAAATATGTTTTGCCTATTCGTAACAGAAATACAGGGCATTAACGTCTCGATGTTTTCGGCTAAATTCCACCAGCACTTTATTTTTACTGACACACCACACGATCGCTTACTATGAAAGATAAATTCCAGAGCCGGACTTAGAAAACTCATTTCCTTTTCAAATGTCAAAATTTCGACTTTCTGAATTTTTCAAAACTTTACGCAGAATCAGAAAGACCAGAAAAAACATTACAAGTGTACTTTTTCAATTTGTACGGCACACTTCGACCGGATTGGCGAAAAAATATCAAACAAAATTCAGATAAATATTTTGTCAATTTCGTCCGGTGTCGCAGAGTCATGCTTCTCTGCGAAGAACACACAGTACTGGGTAGGTTTTTGATATCCCTGTCACTTGACAAGAAATAAATAAGTTACACTTCAATCAGTGGTATTTATACAATTCCTTACTTCTTCGTAATTACTCGGCATGAATGTGCCAGAAAAGACACCTCCAGCAACCTCTTTTCCAAAGAGAGTGTCCCCCGGTTGCCAACAGGCCTGAAAGGTTTCACGCCTGGAGGAACTGTTCACTATACTCCTCCCATCGTCACACGACGACATGGCGCCCAACTTAATGGTAATGACCCACAAATCGAATACCCTGAGAAGAATGAGTCACAGTTTCGTAGTTCTGAAAAAACTTCGTGGCGCCCATCTACGGAAGAAATCCTTCATAAGGTAACTTCATTAACAGCCCAGTTATGGAATGAATTCAAAACGGACAAACAAAAACCAACATTGGATCAGATAACGAAGTTCCATGGTCACGAATGGGAATCTCCTCAAAATTTTCTTCAGGACCTAGGACAATATTTAGATCAGAACAATATACCTATCACAAATCAGATGATACAAGTACATCAGGTGCTAGACGGGAAAGCAAAGAAATGTTTTGCTGCTTTCCATGGAAAGCAAATGAATTTTGATTCATTCTGTAATCGTTTATTAGAACTTTTTGACAACGCATCATTTCATGGAATGTTATATGCTAAACTTTATGGTGAAAGACAAATCAATGAAACTGCCGCAGTTTTTTTGACTAAAAACGTAGTTTATTCCATCGACTCGAACCCAAACTTTCTGAGGATCACATAATATCAAGAGCAGTGGAATTGATGTTACCAAATTTGCTAATCAATTTGAGAGGTAGAAGATTTTCCAGTGTAGAGAAACTTATACAAGCTGCTACTGAGATAGAAAATGATTTGAAAGAAATCGAAAAACCAACACTATTACCAAATACAAGAAGAGATAATGGTCCCAGATCACCATGTCATTATTGCGAAGGTTGGCATTAAAATAGTGATTGTCCGCAATCTTCCTGCTGGGAATAATAAAAACAGGAGATCTCAGGAAAACTAGGACAGGATCGGTGTGAGTCAAGACACCCCATTCCTCACCCGACCCTAACCACAATACAATAGAATATGACCAGAATTCAACTCGTATTCAATTTTATTTTGAAGGCCAGCTGATAGATGCTCTTTTGGACACCGGGGAAAGCCATTCCTTTTTGAAACTATGTTATGTCCAAGATTTTCATAGAACCAAAAAACCAACTACTGTCAGACTAGCAAATTCACTCCACACTTTGAAGACTCTAGGAAATGTTATGATTCCAGTTTTGATTGAAGGACAAGAATTCGCGACAAATTTTCATATCATTGATTCTTTATCTGAGGAAGCCATTTTAGGACGTGATTGGCTGCAAACGCATCAAGCAGTTATAGATTTTGTTTCTGAATGTCTCTACTTCGGGACATTAACTCGAGTCACAGTCCATTTGACCAGGTCCCAGCATACTGAGAAAATGATTGAAGCATCTTTGGAGTTCAGCCCTGGACAATTAACTACGAATAACACCAAAAAAATATGAATCATTAGGTATTGAATTCTTTTCAAGATTTATTCAATGAAGGCCTCCATCAACCTACCACCAAATTGGTAGTGCATAAGATTAGACTCGAAGATAAAACTCCTTTCGAAATAAGGAGTTATCAGTATTCCCCTAAGCAAAGATATATCATACATGACGAGGTTAGGAAAATGCTTGCAGCAGGTGTGATTCGTCGAAGTCAATCAAGTTACTGTTCTCCGATCGTGATTGTCTAAAAGGTGGACGGATCCCCTCGTTTCTGTGTCGATTATCGACAGTTGAACAATCAAACTGAACCGGAAGTATCACAACTACCTCCTATAAGAGATACGGTTAGAGACTTGGGAAACGCTAAAGTATTCTCTTCCATAGATTTAAAAAGTGGATACTGGCAGGTATCTATGCATGAAGAAAGTATACCGTTGACTGCTTTCGGGACACCAGACGGAGCTATGTATGAATTTTTAGTAATGCCATTTGCATGGATTGAGAAACGCGCCATCGACCTTTCAGAAACTTATGACTGAAATTTTAGCAGGATACATTGACCGTTTCACGAAGGTTTATTTAGACGACATAATCATCTACTCAGAAGATCATAATGAACACATTTTGCATCTAGGCTTGTTATTAGAAAGATAATATATACATATATACATAATTTGCGATGTTCTTTCAAAAAATGTGTTTAGTTCTTCTGAATTAGATTATCTTGGACACAAAATAACAGGCTTTTCAAACATTCCGCAAGAACGGCATGTTCTTCGGATTAAATCATTCGATAAACCCAGAACGATGAAGGAGATCCAGTCTTTTCTGGGCACAGCTAATTGGTTACGAGAGTACATTCACAACTTTGCTTCCTTGACTGCCCCGCTCTCCGAGCTCACAGGAAAGAATGTCTTCAAATGGACCACACAAGCTGAACAGGCATTCAACAAATTGCAAGAAGCACTGGATCAACCTCTTATGCTACAAATACCCAATCATGATCTTCCATTCATTCTCCAGACCGATGCAAGTCAACATGGAATGGGCGCAGTTCTTTTCCAATGGAGTCCTGATAAACAGCGGCGTATTATTTCCTAGTTCAAAGTTCAATAAATCAGGAAATAAATATCATATCAACGAACAAGAAACATTAGCTGTTGTTTGGGCATGCAAAAAATTTAGAGCGTACTTAGAGGATAGACCATTAACGCTGATAACGGATAGCGGTGCACTCAGTTGGCTAAATTCAAAGATGACAAGGCTAAACTAACAAGACGGTCACTACTTCTACAAGAATTCGTATTCACAGTACAGCATTGTCCAGGGAAAGAGGCCCAGTTTCCGGATTTTTTGTCCAGAAATCCCGTTGAAGTTTCCGAACCAGATGGCAGAGATGAGTACGATCATCGACTGGTACCTCCGACGATAAGTATTTTGAATACGTGTGGATTGTATGAGACTGTTAGGAATGCACAAAAGTTAGATACCGCTATGCAAAGAGACATTTCCACATGGCACAGATTACAAAATGCGCTTACTAGTAAACTAAAAGGCAGGGAACGCGAGTTGAAAAAAAATTATGTTGTGGAAGATAGATTATTATTTTACATTGGGTCTGATACTAAAGCTTTAGAAGTTTCAGCGGAGCTTCAAGCGAGAGTGATACATGAGTATCATGATGCATCTACTGCGTGCCATCCTGGAAGGGATGAGACTTTCAGATCAATAATTCAAAATTTTCACTGGCGGGGTGTATGGCAAGATATCCGTCATCATGTAAGATTATGTTTGGTATGTGC